ATAAAACTCTGTGATATCATTTTCTATCTTATACACTTAAATATACATGCAGTTATATAGTTTAGAGCACTTTCTTTTCCTCTCTTTTGTACAATGACTATTACACATTTTGGGTTTCATTGCTCCCACGGTTCTTATTGCTTTTTTGGAAGAGAGTAAAACCAAATGAGACATAACAGAACAGAATCGGTCAAGTCAAAAGGGTGGACATAATAGATAATATAAAAACATAATACAAGGTGATCAACAATGGTTACCATAATGCCTCCCGCTATCTCTAATAGAATTGCCTATATCATTAGTTTTAATACAATTGAACAAAACAGTAAAGAACAAAACCGACAAAACCAAAGCATTGGAGACATTGTAGGTCTTCAAAAGTAGATAAAAGTCAACGAGAATGGGCGTTATAATGAATCTCATTATCTTCTCAGCTGATGCCTAAACTTTCGAACCTGATACTATCCAGCAAAACAGAATAGGGGAACATCAGTCAAAAACAAGATGGTGAGAGTAATACAGGGCTTCAAATCGAGATAATAGAAAGTCAAAGTGGGTTACTATATTATATCCTGCTATTTTTTTTCCTTTAATTAAACGGATAAAAATAAAAAAGTAAATAATGGAGTGGAGATTGAGAAAAAAGAGGGCATAACAGCGAAACAGCGCAGATCAAAACATAACCATTTAAGCAGAATAGTGTTTCACCACCAGATAATCCTGACCTAAAAGTAGTTACCATATTGACTCTTTCCTTGAAGTCCTTGAGTACAACTTCGTATACTGTAGCATTAAGTATATCAAAACAATGTAAAACCATTTAAGAGAATGACAGCAATACAGAGTATTTAGAATCGACTAACAGAAAATGAACAATGGTTTCTGTATAATCTCCTTGTCTTTAAAAGGTTTTTGCTTATACTATCATACATAATAAAATCCAATAAGATACAACCTGTTTAAACCATTGGAGACAGAAGAACAAAAGCTAGATGAGACTTCAAAACAAGATGATACTAAATCAGTATTACCTATTAAGATGTCATTTTCTCCAAAATAGCTGTTCCTATCATCCAATCTTCTCTGTCTCATTTCTGTTGAGCTCTTTTTCTGTCAGTAGCTGTCAGTTTGTCTTCTTCATTTTGTTCTCTGCTCCATTCATTGTGGCCTCCCCGCCACTATTTCTGGGTTCTTTGTATTTTTCTTTTTTTAGAATATCCTGTAATACTTTCTGTAGGGTTGAATTGGTGGTTGCAAATTCCCCCAGTTCCTCTTTATCCTGGAAGCACCTTGTTTTTCCATCAATTTCCAGGGACAGTTGTGCAGGATATCTCAATCTTGGCTGGAGATTATTATCTTTCAAAGCTTGAATTATTTCCCCCCATGCTCTTCGTGATTTGATGGTTTGTGAAGAGAAATCTGCTGTAATTCTGATGGGTGTTCCCTTGTAAGTGGTCTGTTTCTTGTCTCTTACAGCTTTTAATATTCTGTTCTTGTATTGAATTTCTGGAATTTTTATTATTATATGCCTAATATTATAATTTTTATCATTATATGCCTGTTAGGGTTGTAGGTAGCTGGGGTCCTGTATGCCTCATACATCTGAGTATCTTTACCTTTTGCTAAATTAGGAAAATTCTCCTGGATTATTTCTGTGAGTAGCTTTTGTAGTTCACTTGTTTGTGTCCCTACTTCTTCTTTTATGTTCTTAATCCTTAAGTTATGGCTCCTCTTATCATCTTCTTGTCTTTGTATTATTGCTGTTTGTTTCTTTGTTATTTTTAAGAAGTTTTTCATTTCATTCTCCCATATTACAAGTCTGCCCTCCAGTTCAGATAGTCTGTCCTTAGTTTCTTTCAAGCTGTTATGCCAGTCTTGGATAGACTTCTTAATTTCTTGATAGTCCCTTTGAACCTGCTTCACGTACTCTATGCTTTCTCTGTTTTCTCCATCAAGCAATTCTCCCCTCTTTTTCTGTTCTTCCATTCCACCATCTGTTTTTTCCTGGGTGGTGCTTAGCATTTCTCTAACTATTCTGCATACTTCTAGCTTCAGGTCGTTGATAACTTCATTCCTGAATTGGTCTATGAGGCTCTCTATATGGCGCTTAATGTCTATTGGTGCAGTGTCTGCTATTGCCTGTTTCTCAGAATTGGGGGCCGAGGAGCCTTTCTTGTTGCTTCCCTTCCCCATATTCTCTGTTCCTTATATATATGCAAGATTACATAGGAGGCCCAGCTTCCCTGCCTGTCAGCCACAGCCTGATCAAATTGCGCTGGCTAGGTGTTCCCGCCCACCGCTGCGCACCAGGGAGTTACGGACTAGGCAGCCTACGCGGGAGTCAGTCGCCCTTCCGGGCCACTGATGACCCATTTTTGCCAGGGACAAGAGAGAGACTGCAGGCAATCTGGGTTTCGTGTTGGGTCACAGCAAAACTGGAAGCTGTGCCCTGTGGCCTGTAAGGATGGCCATTCACAAGCCCATGCTTGGCCCAGTGCTTTTTCTAGAAGCCAGAGCGGTCCAGACAGGATGGAGTCCCAGCTGCACCAGATGAGACCCATCTGGAGGAAGTCCATCCCTCAGGCAGCCCACTACAGGGAACTCCCCTCTATGCAGCAGACCTTGGGTATGTGTGGGGCAACTGGGGCTCACACTCAGGGCACTGCTGTCACGTGGACACCACTCCAGGCCGCTTTCTGGGAGAGCAGATCACTACTGCTCTGCAGCTCACTATGAGGATGAGAGGACAGTGTGAACCCCTGCCCCAAGGCCTGGCACAACCGCCCCTGACTCTCACTTTCCCTTGCCACTCCCCTGCTTTCCTAGCCTGTATCAAGACTCTTCAGTGAAAGGTTCTTGCCTTAGTATAAATTGCTGTACGGTTATAGTGGGAGTCTAATGCGGTGGAAGGCCAAGGTGGGAATGCCTACCACTTCCTGCTTCTTCCTCAGCCTTAATTGCAACTTCCCTTCCTGTTTGCACGCGAAGAAAACTCCAATCAGCTCCTCGCCCCTCATCAATGCCCGCCCTAAGCACTACTCCGGTCAGAAGTTATATGTATGCCCCATGCCCCACATTCTGATAGAGAAAGCTAGGCCCTGGGTAACGGAGTTCTCTCCACGTCCTTGGCATAAAGGTATATTTTTACTTTATATTCTCTCTTTCATGGTGCCGAAAACTTTCATTCAGAGCTGTGAACCCCAAGATGCTTGTGAGAAGGGACTAGTGGGTGTCAAGTCTTTGCAAACTGCTAGACTATGGTGCCAAAGACTTAGCAGCATCAGCACCAAGTTGTGACAAGCAGGATAGGTGACAGTGACCTGGAGATATGTTGGTGGGTGAAATCTGGGACTCTGGCTAGTTGTTGAGAGAGTGAGGCAGTGACTGGGCTCCATAACAGAACAGCAGAGCTGGGGGAGCCAGAAGAGATCCCCTGACTGCTTGGGGTTGTGTCTGCCACCTCTCCCCTGAGGCCATCAGGTGCCATTTACTGTACCCCCACCCAGGCTTCTTTAACTCATGGTTCCTGCCAGGCCACAGCCTACTCATCAAGCCAAGCCTGGGCCTGCTGGCCCACAGACTGGAGCCTGTTCCTTTAAGACAGACACCTGAGCCTGAAACAACTTGTAACCAGCCTTTGGAATTGGGGAGGAGGCAGTTTGTTTTTCATAGCTGGGTGAAAGGGTGGAGAAGCAGGCTGGTTGGTGCTAGACTGGGGAACAACCATGCTGTGGTCTGAGAAGTCACTTCCTCATGGACCTGGGATTCTGAGAGGTCTACAGCTGGGGACAGGGATATGCTGGATGCCTACTTATAATAATCATCATAATAAAAGCTGCCATTTATTATGCACCAACTGTGTGCCAGGTGCTGTAAGTGACTGCCTCTTCCAAGCTGCCTTTAGGACTCAGGGACGGCTGCCCCACCCTGCTAACAATGTGTAATTATATATGCAGAAGTGTAAAACACAAAACATTCCAACAAAATCCAGGCTTTTCCTGTGTTAGCTACTTTAGTGATGTTTATTTCTTTCAAAGAAAGAAAATTGTTTATTGGATTCTTTAAAAAAGTGTACCTAAAGGTGACTTGGTCCAGAGCCATCACTATCGGGACTATCTTTTTCTAAGACCTGTCCTCTCCCAGGTCCCTGGGTTAGTAAGGTGGCAACTGGTAGGACAAGCTGTCCTTCCTGCCAGTTACCATCTTTAGGCACAGATTTGACTTAGATTGCCAAGGCTCAAAAGATAAGCTCACCACTGACTAGTTACCAGTTCCTGTCCTTGGAAAATCATTTCTGTCCTCTTTCCTGGTAAGGAAGAACTCAAGATCCTCTTTCCTCAGGTTCTGGAGAGATGGGATTACAGGCACGAGCCCCCGCTCCCGCTACCTCACTTGTTTTTAGGAAGCATTATATAGCTAGCTGATGCATTATATAACTCAGCGGCAGAGTAGCTGCCTAGCATGCTGGACTCCAGCACTACCACATAAATAAATAACCATAAAATAAAAGCACCGTATGGGAATTTTGGCTACCCCAACCCCATAGGGAGGAAACATTACTAATTCTCAAATTTGCTGGTCGTGAGTTTAAAAGAGTTTGATTCAGTAACATTGTCTCCTTATCTGCTGCTTACATAGCACCCGGCCTCTTCTAAGCCCTCTGCCTGAGTTAGGTCATGAATCCTCACAATATCCATGTTTTAGAAGACACTGTGGCAGTGAGAGGTTAAGTAACTTTGAAATCACACAGCCAGGAAATGAAGAGCTCACCCACAGCTGCTGGCCATAGTCCACGCTACACAAATGTCCCAGGGGACTATTCCTATGGTGGACTTGTTGCTTGCCGGGGGGGGGGGGGGGTGAGGGGGGTCGCTATCCTCTCCCTCCGAGGACAGGGTGGCATCTGGTCACAGGTGTCCTTGGGCCGGGTCACCACCAGCGGGCTCCGCCTCGCTGGCTCTGGGGGCGGGGCCGGCGCGGAAGCAGGCGCACTGTGGGTGGCGGGCGGTGCTATGGAGCCCGTAAAAGCTGCTCGGGCAACTGCTCGGCACCGACAGTGGCGACCATGGTGCGTCCTCAACTCTCGCTGGCGATGGGCCTGAGCCTGCTTGCGATCTACCTCCTGGCGATGTTACCTGACGGCCGCACCGAGCCGCTGGAACACAGGACCGGGGAACGCAAGAACCTGGCCATCACCGACCCACAGGTGCTGAGGGTGGCGCAGACGGCAGTGAACACCTTCAACATGGGCAGCAACAGCGTCTACTACTACCGCGACACCAACATCATCAAGGCGCAGAGACAGGTGCGGCACACTGGGGAGTCGGAGTGAGGGGCTGCGACAAGTGGACTCCAGAGCTCAGAGAGGGGAAGGAAGGCAAGGGGGCGCCAAAAGAGCACCCTATATTTTCATAGTGCCCTTTTTTTGGAGGGGGTTATTGCTGGAATTGAAGCTCAGGTCTTGCGCATGCTAGGCAAGTGCTCTGTCACTGAGCAACATACTCAGTCCGTCTATACAGTGCTTTGCAAAAAGCCACGTGAATATAGCCAGTTGTCTTGGCAAAGCCTTGAAATCTCAGCGCTAGGGAGGCAGAGGCAGAAGGCCCCTGAGTATGAGGCCAGCTTAAGCGGAGGCACTGTCTCAAAGAGCCAAAAGCAAAGGACAGCAAACCCCAAGTGAATACCAAAGATCTATGAAAAATCAACTTGCTAAATTTCAAAGAAACAGAGGCTCCCTGTCTGCACAACTTGCCTCATGTTGCCAGGTCTTTGGAGGATGCCATCTAGGTGGGAGGGAGAGGGCCCAGTGATATCTCCCTTGGGTTTGCCTGAGCTTCAGTGAAGTGGTCCCAGGTGGGTCCCAGCTCATTGCAGGAACCATGCCTCTGCTCCACATCCCTGGTGCCATGTTAGGACCCTGCACGAGCCCCAGGGCAGTGGGAGAGGCTCCAGGGAGGAGAGGGTTCCCCAACCCTCACTTGGCTGCTATTGTCCCCAGCTGGTGGCTGGCATCAAGTACTACCTGACCATGGATTTGGAGAGCACAGCATGCAGGAAGACCAGGGTCTCTGGAAGCCACGTGGACCTCACCACCTGCCCCCTGGCCACAGGGGTGGAGCAGGAGGTAAGAGTAATGTGTACAAAGCCTGAGGCCCTCAGCTTGGCCACCCTGAGCTGGTCTGGCCACTGTAGACCTGCAGGTGCAGATGTGCCAGGCTAAACCTGCCCAGCCTTGGTGACTCAACATCCAGGCCAGTGTGGCATGCAGGAAGGGGAGGCTGGGCTTCTCCAGACTGGGGAGTTGGTTGGAAAGCCCTGGGAGCTGGATCTAGCCTCAGTCATCTGCCTCCAGGTCTGTATCCCTCAGGCCAAGGAGTACCCATCTCTGCCCCGAAGTGTGGTGGTGGCAGAGGGCTGGGTGCCAGCAAGAGGCTGAGCCTGGCTCAGCCCTCCTGGTCCCCTGTGCTGTCTCCACAGAAGTTGCGCTGTGACTTTGAGATCCTTGAGGTGCCCTGGAAGAATTCCACCGAGCTCCTCAAGCACAATTGCATGCAGCAGTAGCTGACCATGGGGCCAGCACCGCGGGAGTGGACACAGGGTGGGGCCTACATCTGCTGCAATAAATGACCAGCCACATCTGCTGCAATAAATGACCAGCCACATCTGCTGCAATAAATGACCAGCGCTGCTGCTTGCATTGATGTCTCCTGTGTGCTTCGTTGCTTTCTCTCATGGCCCCCGCTCCTGCTCCTAGTGGCTCCCAGGACCCCTGTTACCCCCAGAGCAGCTTCTGCTGTCTCTTCCCAGAAAACCAAACAGCCCAGTGTCACATACAGAGACACATATACCTCCAGGACCCCAAATAGGATGGGAGACTAAGTGACAGAAGGATGGTGTCCTGACCTTGGCTAAGCTAGTGCCTGTGAGCCCTCTGAGGGGAGCCTGTGCTCTGCTGCTCTCAGCGCCCCGGAGCAGCTCTGGGGTGCACTGTGGGGTTCAGCTCATCCTACCCAACCCCAAGGACTATGAGCTCCCAGCCCCCGAACATTCCCGCATGTGCATGTGGCCTGCAGCTGACCGCCTGTTCTGTGGGGCCCTGTAGCCTGGGGACCAGGGCAGTTCTTCTTGTGTCCTCTCTGTGGCCCATGCCCCAGAGGGCCTCTCCCAGGTCTTGTGTTGGGCACAGCCCTGGCAGGTGCTTTCCCAAGTGAGCAAACTCAGATCTGCTGCCCACAGGAGAGAGGATTCTCACAGCAGGGATAGGTTTGCGTTAGCATCATTTAAGGAAAACACAGTTGCAACATTCTTTGCCACTGGCATTTGTGACTGCAACCATACTCTCACATGTGCACACAGTCACAGGTAGATCCCAGACACCATAGAAGTGCTCCCCACACACTGCTTCCCACCAGCTCGCGACCCAGAAGCCGGGGCACCTAGAGCAGAGTCCACCCCAAAGACAGGAGCTGGGGGCACGCAGCAGCCCCCAAGCACAAGCCAGCGCCCCACGCTGAGAGACCTTCCTCAGAGGCACTGGTGTGCACCATGCCAGAGACAGGACACAGTAGGGGGGTACCTCGGGGACCCTGAGTATTGGTAGAGTCAGGCTAGGTTCAGCAGCACAGGGGTGGCAGCGGAGCACCCCTTTTGCCCGTTCCTGCTGTCTTGCACTTCCCTTCCAAAGGAGCCCTTGCATCCTGCTGTGCCTACCAGCCTCCTGCCCAATGCTGCCCTCTGCAAGACCACATCTGGGTAGCAATGAGAAGTGACACAGCATCTTGTAAGTGCAGGTATCTGAGAGCTTGTCTTTCACAGAGATATGGGGGCATTTCCAGCCTTGCTTCTGTTGGTGCCTATTAGTTGTGGCAGTTCAGACAGCCCAGAGTGTTTGCTGCTGCCTTGGTGTCACCAAATAGGAGGTTCCAGCCTGAGGCTAGCAAGGGTAGGTGGCAGGAAATGCTGCTTGAATGAATATGTGAAGTCCTGGGGTGAGGCGTGGCCCAGGGATGTCTGCCTAGTAACTCCTTCCTCTCTAGAATCTGTGCCCAAATCCCTGGTGGCATTTCCTCTGCACAGTCTATTCCTGGGCCTTGAGCCAGTTAGCCCTCGGCCAGGCCAGAGAGGAGAGAAGCCGTGAAAGTCCTCGGCTTTCACCTGAGGGCTGGCTGGACTTCATTGAGGTGCAGCTCAGGAGTAAGTGTGTGTGTGTGTTTGTGTGGTGGTAAAACCATCACACCTGGATTGGTCTCCACGAATGGTGAGATAGTTACAGATGGGAGACCCCTAGCCTTGAATGGGGCACTCTGTGCTGGGCTTGACCCTGGCCCAGTGCTAAGTCTGTTGTGCCTGCATGGGCCAGCCTCCCAGCACAGCCTGGTGTGGACATGGGGCTCAAGGTATCCTCCCTGGCTTCAGGCTGTAAAGCAGGGACTCCGGAAGCCTTGGACCTGAAGGCTGGGCTCAGCCTTCAGCCCCATTCCCTGCAGCCCTTTCCCATCTGCAGCAGCAGGTTCAAGCCACAAGTCCCTGTCCTCGCCACCCTGAGGTCAGAAGGACTTGAATATCTTCCCCAACCCCTTGAGCTTCATTAGTCTTCAAGCAGGGCGGGGTGGGCAATGACTTGTGATCTCTGGGCTCTTGTTTTGTTTTCAGACAGAGTCTCTCGGTGAGGTGTTGTAATTTAGCATAACTGACGCCATCTTATGCCGTATATTTAACTCATGCCTGTGTAAGTCCCATGAGAAAAGCAGAATGAGCTGCACCCACGAGAGAGAGAAATTAACGTGCTCAACAAAGAAGCAGGACACAGGTGTCAACCAAAAATTAAAGATTCTAGCTAAATTATTCCCAACAGGATGTCTTGCTTTGTAGTTTTTTGCTTTAGAGGCCCTGTGACTCTTCAGTTTAGCACCACTAGTTTGGACTCTGAAACAGGTCCATGGGTGGTCGCTGAGCTCAGCTAATAAAATTCCAAATTTATTAATTTAGCTGCTCGGATTCCTATGTTTACAAACACTCTTCATAGTCCAAACTGGCCTTGAACTTACTGTGTAGCCCACACTGGTCTTGAGTTTGAGACAATCCTCCTGCCTCAGCTTCCCAAGTGCTGAGATTACCAGCATGTGCCACTATATCTTTTCTTGACTTCTGGATTCTTGATATCCACACTGGATTGGACAGATGAGGAGGCTGTTGTAGTCAAGGGATTGCAAGGAAAATGATTATATATAGGACACATAATTTATATTATTATTATTTGTTGGTACTGGGGATTGAACTCATGACCTCGCACTCACCAGGCAAGTGCTTGTGCCCAGCCCTATAGTATTATTTATAATGGTCACCCAAGGAGTTGAATACAAAGAAAATGTAGGAAATCTGTCCACATACTAAAGACCTAGAGAATCCAGCTGAGGGCCTGGATCCCACAGCCATGTCCTGCATGAGTTCAGCTGAAGACCTAGAGCCCATGACAATGACTCATGCAAATCTATTTCATGACTCTATGCTTGGAAGGCCCAAGGGTCAGTGATGGAAGCTAAAAAGTCTGTGCCAGTGGGATGAAGGATCTGTTCCAGTAGGTTGAGGGTTCTGCAAGGGAACCAAGAAGTGACACTCAAAATAAGGACCAGGGCTGCCCTGGAAAGTATCACAGCTGTCGTGACAGTGAGGTCCTGAGTGCTTCCAACAACAACAGCTGAGTACATATCAGGAAGCCAGCATGACAAACTTCTCTTGGAGATTAAATAACACACACGTTTCCCTCCGGAACTAGGATGCGATGCTCAAAGTAAGGACCAGAACTCCCTTAAGGTGACCCATAGCCATCCTTAATGACAAGTTCCCGAGCTCCTCTGATGATAACAGCTGAGTTCATATCAGGGGAGCCAGCAGGACAAGCTCCTCCAGGAGAACCAGCAGCTCCAAACACCACCACCACTAGGAGAAACTACAGTGCTTCCTTTTGTTCTCCAGGTCTCCTTTTTATGCTGGCAACAGCCTCAGGGGGGCCATCCACGCTTGGCGCCACGCTGATTCAGTTCAGTGTGCTTAAGTTGCCTACCGGTTCCCACCAGTTCCCAGTCCGTCACAGAGCTTGAGCCCCATTCTTGGAACTTTTCCACCTGATCCCTGGAGCAGACGGGGCTTCCTCCCCAAAGTAGGGTACTGCCAACTGCCCTCCCCCCAGCACCACTACTTCTTTTTTTTTTTTTTTTTTTTTTTTTTTGTCTTTTTCATTTTTTATCGGTACCAGGGATTGAACTCACGACCGCCTGCTTGCAAGGCAGGTACTTATGCCGCTGAGCTAAATCCCCAGCCCCCAGCACCACCACTTCTTGAGGCTGGCACACTTCTGTGTTACGTCTCTGGGTGCTACTAATGTGCTGCTGGGTCTTGGTAAGGCCAGCAGGGATCCAAGAATAGTGCCTTTGCCTAAAGCCCTGTGTGTGCATGTGTGTTGCTCGCAGCCAGTGAGGACATGTGGCTACTTGGTTTACTTATTTTTTTTATTTTTTAAATTTTGAGGGGCTAGGGAATTAGCTTAGCAGCTCTCATGCTTGGCTGGTAAGTGTAAAGTTGTGAGTTCGATTTCTAATACCAAATAAAAATTTTTTTTGAGATGGGGTCATGTAAGTTACTAAATTGCCCAGGCTGGGCTTGAACTTGCAATCCTTCTGCCTCCCAGAATGTTGGGGTTACAGCATGGACCACCATAACAGGCTTCATCTAGAGTCGTAAGACTTTATTGGGACCCCAGACCTGCAAGGGCCCAAACAATCCAATAGAACTGGGGGGTCTTCTCCGAACCCACCATTGGGGGGCAGCTTGGTGGAGGTCACATCTGTATGTGATGCTGCTATCTGGACTCCTTTCTTGAAGTCCTCTGTGGGGGAGAGGAGTATGAATAGGGCAGTCCTAGCCCATGGCAATGCCCTTGTGACTGTCACTCACGGTGACTTCCAGGCAAGAGCCCCCGAGCTCTTTTCTCCTTTCTCCTCCTCTCATCCTACCTGGTTCACTGCAAATGTGATGTCCACAACCTCATCAATGACACGCGCTCCGGAGGAGAACTTCTGCTGGTGGTGCTCCAGCCGGGCCACCAGCTTCAGGAACTTGGACTGCAACTCCCACTGCCTGTGGGGTGTGAGGTGTGTGGGGCGGGGTGGGGCGGGGCTGGCCAGCTAGTACCACTTCTGGGTCCCCCAGAGCCCTCTACATGGTTCTTCTTGCCAGTTTTCCACTGAAACTTACATTATCCTAGACCTCCATTTCTAGAGTCTCCTTTCCAAGACCTCAAAAAAAAAAAAAAAAAAAAAAAAAAAAAACCAGAAAAAAAACAACCCCATATCTGCCTGAATCATGGGGGCTATTGGCATTCATTTACCCTCTCCTGCCCATCCTTCTACTTACCCATTTATGGCTCCTCTGCTTGTCCCTCCCTCTGGCCCAAGCCTCTTCATTGGCCCATTCACCCATCTCCCCACCATCCACCTCCCCACCCATCCATCTCCCTATCCATCCATCTCTCCACCATCCATCTCTCCACCATCCACCTCCCACCATCCACCTCCCACCATCCATCTCTCCACCATCCATCTCTCCACCATCCACCTCCCACCATCCACCTCCCACCATCCATCTCTCCACCATCCATCTCTCCACCATCCATCTCCCAACCCATCTACCCCCCTACCCATCCATCTCCCTATCCATCCATCTCTCCACCATCCATCTCCCCCTCCATCCTTCTCGCCACTCATCCACTCCCTACCCACCCATCTCCCCACCCATCTCTCTCCTCACCATCCCATCACCCATGCACCCTCTCTACGTCTCTACCCACCTGCCTTCCCTTCCATCCACCACCCAGGGTCTATGCCTTGACCAGGCTGCACAGTCATCCTCTAAACCCCCCTCACCCACACCTTTGTTGAACTTGGCTCCTATTAATCACCACCCTGCCCCCAACAGGCTAGAAAAGAAAAACAAAGTGCTCTGTTTCTAGGATGGAGAGATGGACAAGCAACAGGCTTAAAAAGCCCTTGGAACCAGACAACCGCCAGCACCTTGTGGTGCATACAAACATGGGGTGCCCCTTCCTGTGGGAGGGCAACCTCACCCAGTGCTTCCAGAGGGAGCATTGTTGAGCTGACTCAGAACACAGGAGGTTTTGCCAGGCCTGGGCACAGCTTCTGGTGCTCCCAAGGGCAAGAACCACAGAGTGCATAGCTGTGGGCCCAGGGCAGCTTGGGGAGGCATCCAGGGAATGTAGGGGAGGACGGAAAAGCCAAAACTACCCTGAAGGACCACTCTTAGCAGGGGACCAGTGGCGATGACATTTCCAAGGAAAGTATGGCAGATGTGCTAAGAGCCGGACAACAGTGGTGACCCAGGTCCTGGAGGATGGACAGTATAGTGCTCTGGGAGGTGACATGAGTTGGGACGGAATTGACTCGTCCAGGTTCCCTGAGCCTGGGGCATCAGCGCCGGGCAGAGAGTGCAAAGCAGGCAAAGGCCTGGAAGGTGGAGATGTTTGTGCTGTGCTTGGGAAAAGAGTGGCCAAAGAAAGGGTGGCAGTGGCCGGAATGATGTGAGGGGGCTGGCGCAGGCCTGGCCATGCAGGCTCCCAAGGCTGGACCCCAGAGCCAGGACTGTTGTGATCAGAGCCCAGAGGATGGCAGCCCATTGGCCTGCCATGGATGCTGGTCTGGAGCAGGCCGGAGGGGGTTGGGCGGGGACAGCTTCCAGAGAGGAGGGGCCCCGGGGGTCCCGGCCTGAGAGCCAGGAAACTGGAGCTGGTACAAGGACCCACTCCCGAAGTGAGTCCCTTGGTGGTTGGCCATCTGACCACCAGACCTTTACCCAATCTGTATCCCTACTGGTAGGGGTCTTCTCAGTCCCCATGGCTCAGGATGGGTCTTTAAATGTAGGACCCTGAGGGGCAGGGATGCAGTCTCTGTCCTCTTTGAGTTCCTGGGGTCCTCTCTGGGTGTGACCCTGACAAGGGTCAAAATGCTGCTTGAGTCCCTGTCACTGGGATGGTCTGTGTGGTGCAGCACCTAAGGCAGGCAGGGGTCGCTCACGGTCTCCATGTTCCCCGTGTAACAGGTGCGTGGAAGGTCGGCCTGCAGGTGCGGCTGGGCAGTGCAGACAGCAGGAGGTGCGCGTCGATGCCTGCCCTCAGAGCCATCTCCCTGATTACCTTACACCTCTGGGTCAGGTCTCTGTTCATCTCTGCCTGTGGGCACCTCAGTCACAACCCACATTGTGCCTGCCTAAACAGCTCAGTAAGAGAGGCTCGGTTCTCCTAAACCTACCTGGCCAATCCCATCACCCTCCAAGACCAAGAGCACCAGGCTGAGAGCAACTAATTCTTAGAATTTATAGGTGCATCCTGCTGCCAATTTTCACAATGTCTGGCCCCTAACCCCCTGCCCCAGAGCAATGCCTAGAGGTCTGCAGTCATTGTCCTAAGCCTGCAGTCACCTGGGTTTCAGGAAAAGCAGAGCCTTATAGGTCACCACATGATAAGGTCACCTCCCCAAAAAGCAACAATTATCCCAGGCCAGGGACCCAGCCTCCCCCCCCCCCCCCACCGGCCAAACGATGATAGCTGCCCCAGAACCAATCCCGAGAGAATGACCAGCCAGACCGTGACTTAACTAGGGTTACCCACACAACTGGCACCGTGAACCCCAGCACTGCAGCCCGCTCCCCTTTGCCTTTTCTCCACTTTCTATACAACCCCGACCTGGCTGCCGGCCCCTGCAAGCCAGATCCTGAAGCTCTCTCTCTGTCTTCTCAGCACAGTCATGCTGATTAAAATTCCTTTTCTGCCCTTGGTCACCTCTTCCCGTGGCATTTTGGGGCAGGCAGCCAGGTGAGCTGGCTCTGTTGGGACCACAGGAAGACCTGAGGCTTTCTCCTGAAGCTCCAGTGGTAGATTCACTGGCTTAGAAGCAAACCTCATCCCCCCACCCATCCCTTCCAGTCACCCACGGCTCCGGACCCCCCACCTCAGACCCGGCCTCCCTTTCCTCCTCTCCTCACTTGTCAGTCATTGTCTCGAACTTCTTCACGAACTGCATGGTGTCCTCACTCGTCACCTCCTCGGGCTCTGCATGGAGAGAAAGGGGGTGAGCTGCCTGGATCTGGAGGGAGCAGGGGAGCCCCTTGTCACAGAGGCACACAGCGAGGGCTTAAGGGGTCTCCTTTCATCCAGGATGTCTCAGGGAGGGTGCTTCCTCAGGCATGGAGCATGTAGTGGTTTTTGTTTATTTTTCTGTCTGGCCTTCATCTCTTTATTTATTGAACACAATTGTTTTATTTGATGAGGTGCTGTGGATGGAACCCAATAATTTCCACATACTAGACAGTGATCACCACTGAGCCATTTCCCCATGCTCATTCCGTCTTCTAGAAAAAATACCAGTTTGCTGGGTGTACAGGCCTAGGCCTTTAATCCCAGCACTGAGGGAGGCTGAAGCAGGAGGATCGTAAGTTCAAGTCCTGCCTGGCCAATTTAGCAAGACCCTGTCTAGCAAGAAAGAAAGAAAGGATGGGCAGACTGGAGATGTAGGTCAGTAGGTCTAATCCTAGTACCAAAAACAAAATAAACCAATGACAGCAGAAAAAAAAAACCCACAAAAATGTGTCTTAGTGTGGTCATAGATTAACTTAAACTAGTTTAACCTTAGGTTACCCAGGGACTTTGTGCTCTACTAAGCCATATGATTATGTTTTGGAGGAAGTCTTACAAATGCATTGTGTTAAAGGAAATCAAGGAAGGACCTTGCGTCTCAGTGCAAGGCTGCTGGAACAACACAAGGTACTTTTCCTAAAAAGTGTCCAAGTGGCACACTCCTGCAATCCCAGCACTCGGGAGGCTGAGGCAGGAGGATTGTTGTTAGAGACCAGCCTGGGCTACACAGGGAGCCGAAGACCAGCCTGAACTGCATAGCAAGACCCTGTCTCAAAAAAAACAAACCCTAAACATGAAAGGAACGTACAGTCCAATTGGTCACCGGGACAGACAAATGGTTAAGCTTTTGCCTCTTTCACTTTGCCCTTAAAACATCCTCACTTCTGTGCTTTGTAAAGACAAGACTCATAAAAACTCAGAGAAAACTGTCATCAGGGCTTCAGCCCTACAGACTGTAGGCCCTCCAGCCCATAACTTTGTCTCTGTTCATTTCTTGGCCTCTGTTGTACCTCATTTTTGGGACCTGTTTCCTCAGAGAAACCAATGACCTAGTTTTCCTGGGGAACTGACCCCACCCGTGTTCCATTCTTGCTGCTTAGTTGGGGTCATTTATCCTTTCTCAGGACCCCAGAAACGTGACTGTGGACCAGCCAGTCACAGCCTCCAGGGATTTATTCAAAAAGAAGCAAGCAATCTCATCAGAACAAAGAGGGCTTATCTCTGGGTGTTTGTTGGAATTGCTGGGAGAAGAGAACACTTTCTTCTGGGAGGGCTACAGATGACTGAACTGTAAGGGACTGGGACTAGAGGTGCAGGTGACCTCTCTGGCTTACAAGGGAGAATTACTTTAGAAACAAAACCACTCAGAGGACTACAGAGCAGAGACACAGAGGAGACCAAATCCTGATCAGTGCTTGAGTCCTGGATCCAGCCATTCCTGAAAGCCCATATACCTCTAATTTGCTGAGTAATTGAAAGGCCAGTGAATTTCTTCTTTTGCTTAAGCTATTTTGCACTGTTTCTGATGGAAAGTGTCCATGAGGGCCTCCTGCTGATGATCTTAGGAGCAGGATTCTGGAACTCAGATTCTAAGGTCCTGGGAATCTTTAGATCAAAAGCAAACCATTTGACTCAAAATCAGTGCATCCAGAAAGTCACGGGTGTGAAAATAACCACATCTCCAGGAAAATTCATTCTTGTAGACTTAGTCTGTGTCAAGTAACTATGTATAGGTGTGTGTAACCTTCACAAAACCAAAAGGCAGTCATAACCATGCCATGGAGATAAGCCATAAATAATAAGTAACTGACAGAAATGGTTTAATGAATCACAATTTGGCTAACAGGTTGTTTTGCAATGGGCCTGTTGAGAATTAATGATCAATTTTAATCGGCTTTGAGGGAATTGTTTGAATGCTTTTGAACCAAAGTTCTAAACTCTGAAAGTCCTCCACCACCCTAGATTCCAGAGCTCTAAGAGTGGGCCTGGGGGCCTGTGTTTGGCCAGGAAGGGGTGGGTGGGAGATGGTGGGCAGGCCCAGGACCTGTTTGGTCGAGCTCTGTCATCGAGTCATCCAGCAGCTTCTCATGGATCCAGGCAGTCATCTGCAGAGAAGAGGCCTCAGTTCCGCCCGAGACTCCTGCTCCCCTTGCTGGAGTGCCAGTGTCCCTCCTGTTTCCTGGGCACCCCACTTGATACCTGCTGTTTCACTTTCTCTTCGTCTCTGAGCAGGGCCATTTGGAAGTTATCTACCAGGACGGCGGTCAACAGGCTGGGCGAGGGGACAGCACAGTGCCCTTGAGGAGGATGCAGGAGGAGAGGCCCCAGCACCCTTTGGAGTTCAGTGTGGCAGGACAGGGGTCCCCCAAGGGGGTGGATGGGGGAACCTCACTTGAGGAAGATGATGTTTTGGATGAAGATGTAAATCATGAGAATGGGGATGATGTACCAGGCACCTGGGGAGAGGGCAGAGGGGTGGTCAGCCCGGCGGCTCCCTCCCACCCCCTCACCCCTGACCCCACGTCACATTCGGGGTCTCTGAGACCCTGGCCCCTGGCCCACCCTGGGCACGGTTGTCCATATAGATGAGGGACCAGTCATCCAGGGTGAGCACGGTGAAGAGGGTGAACATGGTGGTGAAGAAGTTCTCGAAGCGCCAGGGATCCGATGTTCGGAAAAGCGTCAGGATCATAGAGAAGAACACTGGCTGCTCAGGAACAAACCAGGCTCCGGGCCCCTGGCCCCGTGCCCCCTGCCCCAGCCCTGTCCCAGCCCCGTGGCACAGGATACAAAGGCAGGAAAATATGAGGATGAAGATAGTTATGATGGACAGCAAGGACCCCACCAGGGTCCCCGTCACTTCTTTGAGGCTGGTCAAGATTCTGTGGGCAGAGGGAGGGGGAAACCGAGTCAGGGTGTGCTGGCTGAGGCTTGGTGCCCAGGTGGCAGGAGATATGGAGTCTTTGATTTGCTGGGTGGCCTATTGAGCCAGTGTTTCAGCACTTCTCTGAAACATAAAGAGGGATCCCAGCCAGAGAGCCCAGAGGAGCACTTTCCGAAGCGGGCTGCAGCCACCTCTCCCCTGCCCCTGGAGCAGGTCACAGTGCTCTATTTCCTTGGGAGCCCAGGGCTCTGTTCTCTCTTCCTCTGGCCGCCCCACACCAGAGCCAGCAGCCAGGACCACACGGACCTGAGCCTCCGCACGATCCGGATGGCCCTCAGAGCCCGCATGATCTTCAGGACCTTGAGAATCCGAAAGAGGCTGTGGTTGTAGAAGGAGAACAGGGAGTTGATTTGCATGAGCACGAAGTCCAGCATGGCCATGATCATGACGAAGAAGTCTGAGGGGACAGGGTGACTGAGCGGGGATGGGACTGCTGGGCCCAGACCCACCAGCTCAGACACCCAGTCCCTGCCCCCTTCTGCCCACAGTTTCCCTCAGACAACCCCATTTCCACCCACCCAGATTATTCCAGGCATCATAAAAATACTGCAGGCCCATGGAAATGATCTTGAGCAGCGCTTCTATTATGTAGATGCTCAGGAAAATGCAGTCGAAAGCCATGAAGTACCACTCTGCGGGGATAGTAGGGGTGCACTCAGGACCTTGCCAGCCTCCCAGCCCTTCCCTCTGCCCCTCACACAAGCCCAAATACCTATCTTCTCCCTGGTTCGGCCCCAAATCGATAGCTGTGACTCAACTGCTCTGATCTCAGTTTTCTTGTCCATGAAATGGGTATAATAACTGTCCAGTTGATAAGAATTTTAAACATATGGAAACATATTTAAAGCCTATTACCTGGGGGCTCCTGGTTTAGCGCAGAGGGACAAGTACGTGGCGAATTCTTTCCTTCATTCTTACCCAGTGTATTTCAGTGCCCATTTTCTCCATTGTCTCCCCTACCTGGCCTCCTGCCCTGGGCTCCCTGACCCTTGTCACCAACCAAGAGTTCTTGGTCTCCCGCCCCACTCTCAGCAGCATATTTAGAGCTGATGCGCCACCTAGTGGCTGTGGTTGTGAACTGCACAGCCGCCAGTCCAGACGGTCTCTGGCTGACCTAGAGACCAATCGCTAGTGACACTGGTGGCAGGGCATCGACTTCCAAAAGTGAAGATCAAGTGAAACAAGTTATATAAATCTCCTGGCAGGGGATCGGGACATAGGAGCCCTGGATCGACATCAGGGCCCCTGACTCTTACCACCTCTGATCTTGACTTCTGCAAAGGTCTGGGCCATAAGCATGATGATGTTGAGAAAGATGATGAAGAAGATGAAGGTTTCAAAGACCCAGGATTGTGTCAGGTTCCTGATAATCATCCAGGGGCCCCAAAGGAAGGTTCTCAGTCTTTCACACAACCGTTGGAAGATGTTCACCACAAACTTCTTTTGGATCCGCTGGCCTCGGCTCCCTGTGAGGTGGTCAGAAAGTCACATCTGTGCAGCGGAAAAGTGGGGGACTGGGGCTCATTGTCATCCCTGCCTGCTGTCCATTCTCTACTGTGCCTCTGTGCTAGTGCTGGTCTTGGGGCCAGGCCTGACCTCTTCAGAGATCAATCCGCTGAAGATTCGGAGTTGGCTTCAGTGGACCCTTTACAGCTCTCTGTCCATTTTGCTCACGTGTCAGCTTATTTATGGAGAGTCCACCTCTCTTCACTGCTCCAGCCTCATGGTGACCCTCACTTTCCATGTAAGACCCTGCTCAAACTTCCCTCCTCCTGGCTCTTTCTGTGCCATCCTATGAGACATTCACTCCTCTCTGCTTGTGCGTGAGCTGGTTGCCATGTTTACTGCACTCCTAAGAGCGCCAACTCTGGGAGATTATTGGCTAATAGCTGAGGTCCCCTCCGCTCTCAGATAAGGCCCTCATCTCTGTCCTCACGTTTTAGTGGGGGGAATGCGGACACAGAATCCACAAAGACAAACATTCTGATGTGAAAGATGACAGGCTCCATCACTGGGTGGCTCATGATTGGTTAAGTGCCCCCTCCCTGATTTGGAGCCCTTTGAGAAAAAGAATGGTGCTTTTTTCCCTTTGTCTTTTTGAGACAGGGTCTTGCTATGTAGTTCAGGCTGGACTTGAGCTCACTCTGTAGCCCAAGCTGGTCTCAAATTTACAAAGATCCTCCTGTCTCAGCCTCCCAAGTGCTAGAATTTCAGGCGTGTACCACCACACCCAGCTTTGTGCTGGGTTTTTGCCTATACTGTCAAAGCTCAGGCACCCATGTTTGACAAGAACTTCAATGTTTGAGAAACGAATATAAGTGTGAAGAAAGAGGTGGCTGCATGAGGAAAGGTCTCATGGTGCGTGGAGGTACACAGTTCAGGGAATAAAGGATGGCGTGAGGGACAGTGAGGGGGTGGAGCTAACAGAATATACTCATGGCAGTTGGGCCAGGCCTCCAGATCAGCAGGAACCTGTGCAGAGCTCAGACTGCATCTACATGAATGTGGGCTGGGCAGTGGGAGTTGGGTTTTGGGGACCCAGAAAAGACTCACTTTTTTGCCTTTGATACTGCTCATCTTCTGACCAGTACTCTGAGTCTATGGTGGAGATATCCTGAGGGTGGACTTTGTTGGAGACCTGAGAGCCATGTGAGTGGACTGCAGTGAGGGACCGAATCCTGCTGCCGTGGGGCAAGCCCTTGGTGAGCTCCTGATGAATACCAGAGCCAACTGCACTGTGGGGCTTGTGTGGAACAAAGAGCTGAGAGGTGCTCCTGTGGGAATCCTTATAGGAATCTCTGTGATCGTAGCGGTATGCGCTGCTGTGGTGAAGCTCCGGGTGGTGGTGCTCCCTGTGGTGGTGCTCACCATGGCGGTGCTCCCTGTGGTGGTGGTGCTCACTGTGATGTGGCTCTGCATGGTGCTGCTCACCGTGGTGGTGATCTCTGTGGTGGTGATGCTCACCACGGTGGTCCTCACTGGGGTGGTGGCTGCCATGATAACTTTCTCTGAGGACGTGAGGTGCGCCCCGGTGGTAGGACTCTTGAGAGGGTTGGTTGATAACGCTCTCTCTATGATGCCTTCTGTGAGGGTGGGTGTCATGAGGATGGAGCTTGTTGGACTCGTGGGCTTCGTGATGCTGGGACCCCTTGCGGCGGTACTCCTCACTGTGATGGTAGGAATATTCGTGTTGGTGAGAGGGACTTTTGTGATGGAGTCCACCATGGTGGCCATACTCGCTGTGGTGTGGTGACACACTAGGTAAACAGTGTCTGCTAGAGCTGGACATCTCGCTGGGTTGGTGGGTCACAACAGAGGGTTGGTGCCCACCATGATAGTGGTGCCTGCCTTGGTGGTGGGGCCCATCATGGTGAGGCTCAGTGTGGTGGACAGTGGCCGGGGAGGGACCCCAACCAAGGGATGTACGATGGTGGGCTCTGTCATGAGGCTGAGCCTTGCTGTGGTGGGACTGGGAGAGCGCACTGTCCTGGAAGTCCTGGCGGATGTCTCTGCGCTGGTGGGACTCACTGTGATGACGGCCTCCTCCGGGGAGATGATGGGATTCGTGTTGGCGGGGTCTGTCCTGCTCCGGCCTGCGGTGTGGGGATGATGAGTGGGGGTGGGGGAGGGTATCCAAGTTGCTGGTGCTGTGCTCATTTTGAGCCTTTTCAGTCATCAAGAATTCGCTCTGTGGCTATGCCCGGAATCCTTGGAGTGAAGAGAGCTTAAGAACCAGAAGCTGTAGGCCCCTTTCCCAGCTTCCCTTCTCTCCTAATCTGGTTCAAAGCCAAGGGTGTGAGTTCTTTCCTCGGAATTCTCCTCTCTGTGATGTCGCCAGCAAGTGGACAGATACAATCATTCCATTTTACAGATGGCAGGGTGTGTGACTCAGAGAAAAAAGGAGTTGCTCTAGAAATAAAACTTACAATCAGTACCAGCTCCTTTTATTTTATTTTATTTTTTGGGTACTGGGGATCAAACTCACGACCTTATGCTTGCCATAATCAGTACCAGCTCCAAAGTCTCTGCTTGCAACCATGTGCTGGCTTGTCTTCCTCCTGAAATCCGCTGCAGAGTTTATCCTACACACACAGCTCACTTGTGCACAGCACAGTTCTTCTGGAAATGTCCAGATCTCTCCCTTGACTCTAGCTGCTTCCTGAGTGCTTGGTCATAGCCAAGCCCATAGTGACACAGGGCACCGAGTTCCCAGGAATAGAGGAGCACACTCCTTCTCAAAGAGCTTCCTCTCTGGTGCCAGCAGCAGATAGACAGTTTGTGACATACTTATTGTCCCACATACTTTTCTTCCTTTTCTACTTTTCTTCCTGGAGATGGAGACTCCCACCTATAGTGTATCTTTTTTCTTTTTTATAGTGCTAGGCATGGAACCTAGGACCTTGTGCATGCTAGGCAAGCACTCTTTGCAACTTTGCACTGAGCTATATCTCCCATTCTTTTTAATTTTGATATTACTATGGACCTTGGACAAAAGGCCAAGAAAAGATGATTATTTTATTTACTTAGCCTTTTTTTGAGACAGGGTCTCTCTATGCAGTTCAGGCTGGTCTCACTTGAGCTCACTTTGTAGCCCAGGCTGGTCTCAAATTTGCAACGACCCTCCTGCCTCAGCCTTTTGAGTGCTGGGATTAAAGGTGTCTGCCACCACACCAGGCTCAATTATTTTTCATTTTGAGATTTGGTCTTGCTAAATTGCCCCAGCTGGGCTCAAAGTCGTGATCCTTCTACCTCAGCTTCCCATAGTGCTAGCATTGTGGGAAAAACTGAATTAACAGTAACTAGGAGCTCAGGAGAAGAAAGGAAATTTTATTGATGCTAACAGACCTCATAGGAGAAATCTCCAAAGTCTGAGGTCCTGACAGAGAGCTTGTCTTATTTATAGGGTGGTGACTAGAAGTTACAAGAACGAGAAAAGCTTTAGCTGAAGCCATGGTATAATAGGTATCTTGTGGTGAGCATTGTTGTATGTGGCAAAGTTCTTTGAGCACAGAAGTTTCAGTTAGATGACAAGCTATGGTTTATATGAGTTTGGTGGCACAGAGCCCAGTGCCTGCAGCTTTATTGAACCCAATGGCTGCAGGTCGATCAGGATGGGAATACAGGTGTGAGTACCATGCCCTCCTGTGTGTAGCTGTAACTAAACCACACGAGCAGCCTGTGGGGCTTGGGTTTTCATCTCTAGGCCTGTAAACATCCAACTATTCTTCCTGCCACTTGGCACACGGATGCTACCAGGAGACAGGATCAATACAGCTGGGCAGGGGCTTTGTCTGGGCAGAAGCACAGAGTTCCTGGAGACATTTTTAGGCCGGGGTTCTATACCACAATCGAAAACAAAAGCGTGATGTTTGAACTTCGTGGGCCATGAGATGCAGTGTCCTCAGTGACAGACAGTCATCCAGCGGCCTCTGAAACCATACACCAGCCTGTGGCCCTGTGTGGCAGTGAACAGCGGCACTGTGCCCTGTCTGGTGAGTCCTTCCTCAGTGTTAATATGAACTCAGAAAGTCTGTGGATCAACTGTGAATGTGTGGAGAAGAAGCGTTGCCACCTCCTGAGGACCTTCCCTCCCTCTATGCACCCACCACTGACTTACAGGAAGAAGCTAGATCTCCTGGTGTGATAGATCAGAGAACAATGATTTCCTTCTAAAGAAACTGGTTTTACATGTTGTGACTCAGTCTCTGCCCTGCGGCTTTGCTGTTGATATCACTACAAATTGCATTGTGAAGGTTTCACAAATTATTATCTCTTTTTATTTTGTTTGAGACAGGGTCTTGCTGTCTAGTGAGCTGGCCTTGAGCTCACTATATAGCCCTGGCTGGCCTTAAACTCTCAGAGATCTTCTCCCTTAGTCTCTTGAGTGCTGGGATTACATGTGTGAGCCATGGCGCCTAGCTCTGTGTTTTTGTTTTTTGTTTTTTGAGGCAGAGTCTCAGGATGTAGTTCAGGCTGACCTCAAACCCAAAGCAACCCTCCTGCCTCAGCCTCCCATGTCCATGCATATCATGCCAGGCTTAGAAGATTTCACAATTTTTGCAAGTTTTTTTGTTTAGTCATCTACATGCCCTTCTTTTTAAATATTTTATTAGCATTTGTGTTTCACAAATGGCCCAAAGTAGGGGATTTTAAATGTAAAGTGTGAAATGAAATAGTTGGACTGTAGGCCTAGACAAATCTGGTCAGGTTAGTTAGTGATAAAGAATTAGAATTTGCAGATGGAGCAATGATACCTGCAAAACTGAAAAGAACCTAGTGGCAAATTATAACCATTTCATAAGTAAACATGCTAATTTTTAAAATGTCTACTGGTATTTCAAAGTAGATTATGCCTTTTATTTTAAAACTCATACAATATTCAGTAACAAGTCATACAGATTTCAAAAAACAAGTTATTTGGCCTATTATCTGGCAAAGGAAATGTTCTATAGTTAATATCAGCGTCCTATAATTACATCAAAATAGCCATAATAACTGACTTATAATGAGATGAGATTTTGACTCACAGATTTGGAAGTCCCAGTCCACGGTCAGTTGGCCGTTTTGTTTTGAACTTGTGACATCATGATGGGTGGATGTGGCAGAGCAAAATCTTTCACATCAGGAGCCAGCGAACAAAGAGAAAGAGAAGGGAGTATGACAGTCCTTTTTAATGGCACAGTACCAAGAACATACGGACCTCCTGCAGGGCCCCACCACTTCCCAAAAGTGCCACCCTGGGAACCAGCCTTCCACACATCCACCTCTGCAAACTTCAGGACCCAAATTATTGCAGTTGGTGAGAACCAAACAATTAGCCAGTATATAAATTTTTTTTTGTCTTTTTCCTTTTTATCGGTACTAAGGATCGAACTCACGACCACCTGCTTGCAAGGCAGGTGCTTATGCCACTGAGCTAAATCCCCAGCCAGCCAGTATATAAAATTTAAACAAGTGAAATTCCAGTGTAAGATGCAGTACAAAGAATGAAAAGTTTCTATTCTTAGAATAACAGCTTACTTGACATATTGGTGACATATTATGTGTTGCACCAGGGTTTTGTTTTGGTAATAAACTTACAAAACAGCAGTTTCTTTATTAGGCTATTGGGTCATGAGATTTGTGAACGATCAAGAAAATTTTTCAGCTTTCCGATGTCAACAAACAAGGAATCAAAATAGATTTAATTTTTCTGGTATTATAGTCAAAAATCCTATCTTAGCATTTCTCTTGATGGTTGCTGTCAACAGTAGGCTGTGTCAGTTTTTATGGTTCTTGTAAAAACAAAACAACAAGCACACCAGAAAACCCAGCAAACGAGAAAGCTGATGTTGTCATAAAAACACACCATTTTCTTCATAGAAGAGGTGCAGGTATAAAAACTAGAGGTGAAAAGAAGAATGCTGCACCAAGGTTAACCTTATTAAACAAAGCCTAGCTTACCTGGTAAGATCAGTCATTCCACTGCTGGATAAACGTCCTGAACGGGTGTAAAGTATGGAAACAAACAGGTATTTGTGCACCAGATTCATGGCAGCATCAGTCACAATAGCCAAAGGT